TCCCCGATCGCTGCACGTGGTGCGGCAGTGGCGGCCTGCGCGCTTGGGTTTGACCCCTCTGCGCCGCTCCGTCATCCGCGCACCACAGGCCAGTCTTGCATCAGGGTCACTTCCTGCATGCAGCCGACCCGAGAGAAGGGTCTCACCCAGGAGGCGCTTCACGAGCGGCGAACCCCCATCCGCATCCGCGCTATCGCGGTCTGGATTCCGGGGCGCGATCCCGCAGATTCGCGGTCGCACGGCTGCATTCGACGCGGGGCAGCCGCGAAAAAGCGCTCCGTGTCCGCGGGGGTCGCGGCCCAGGGGCCCAGCCTCGCGAGATCCCGCGAGACCGCGGACACGGCGCCAGAGGTTCTCGGATGTTCTGCCCGGGGCGGGGAGTCACGGTCAGGAGGTCTGGCTCAGCGCGTCGCTGCGCCGGTTTCGGCCTGCCACGCTTCGGCGCGGCACGCCGTCCACGCGCCTGATCTCGAAGCGTCCACGTCCCGATCGTTTCCCCGCCGCATCGATATTCGGAAACCTTGGCGGGCGGTGGATATGGACATATTCGGGCCCCGGGGGGGGCAGATCCAACGATACCGGCGATGTCCTTGAAGATCGATCCCCCAGGCGGTGGTTTTGGATAATCCCCGCCTCACATTCTTGTAGGTTCCCAGAGGCTCTTCCAGCTTTGGAGATGGTTTCCAGCAGCTGCGTCTCGCCGAGGGCGTTCCAGGGGCGCCTGGATCGTCCCGAACGGCCGCCGCGGCGGGGGCCATGACCCGAAAGCCAGACACTGTCTTCGGCGTGAAGCAAGAGGGTCCTGAGGGAAGGCCGTCCCCAGGCAGGGACAGTCAGCAGACGACTCGGGTGCAGGACTGGCCCGGGGGGCAAGCAGGGTCCAGGGCCCATTCCCGTCAGGGCTTGGCCCCCACGAGACAGCATAGTCAGAGCTAGCTATTTCTACCCTGACTGGGACAGGGTAGGCTAGCTTTACCAGCGTACCCTTCTCCAGCTGAGGTACTTTACCCATGCCCAACCCAGGGGGGGGGGGATAAGTGCGCCAGCGGGCCAAGGTTCCCTGGCTTGGGCGGGGATGGTTTGGAGTTGTAGATCTCCACCGCCTGGGGAACCGATCTTCCTGGACCCCGAGTGGTGGTGGATATGGATATTTTCGGGCCCCCCAGGGCACAAACATATCCACATCCACCGCCCCCCTGGGATCTGGGCAGATCGGTTCCCCAGGCGGTAGATATGTTCGCCAGTTTCGGCCTGTGGCTCCTGAGTGCGTCTTTGAGGCCTCTTCCCAGATTCGGGCCCCAGGTCCCTCACGGGTCGGTCTTGCTCGAGCGTCCCCCGCAGCAAGATGGTTTCCGTGGGTCTGGCCGTGATGTCTCGCGGTGCTGCATTGTTTCGCGACGTCGGATCTCAGGATTGGGGGATTGTTCCCCCAGGTTTTGGCCCCAGGGCTTTCTCGGGTCGATTTGGCTCGACAATTCCCCGCAGCAGGATGGGGTCCGTGAGTCTGGGCGTGATTTCTCTGGGGGCAAACCAAAGGGTACCTATCCCGCTACTCCCCGGACCTCTCCCGGGGTGCGTCCTGACCAGGATTTCGAGGCGAATCCAGCGGTGGCGACGAGGGCCTCTCAGGAGGCCCAAACAGGGGAAAATGGCCGATGGGTAGCGAGATGGGCACCGTTTCCTACCGTTCCCTCCTCTGAGATGCACTTTTCCGTGACGTCGGAGTTTAGGGTTGGGGTGCTCTTGAGGCTCCTTGCAGGGCTTCTGGAGGGCTTCTGGTGGGTGCCCCTCGCCGAGGGGTGTCCGATGCCCGCTTCCCCTGGGAGCCCCTCGGCTCGCGGCAGGAGGAGGGAGAGGACCACCACCACCACCAGCACCACCACCACCACCACCACCACCACCACCACCACCACCACCACCACCACCACCACCACCAGCGCTTTGTCGGTCTTGTGGCCTCCTGGGGGCTTCCTGGGGGCCTCTTGGGGGCTTCCTGGGGCGTCGTGGGGGCCTTTGGAGGCTCCTTGGGAGGCTCTTTTGGTCCGTCTGAGGGCGTTCTTGGCTCGCCTGGCGCCGTCGGGAGCCGTCTGACGGGCCTCTCTTGGCCGACTTGGGGTCCTCCTGGGGCGCTTCAGGGTAGTTTTGGAGGCAAACTTGAGCTTCTTGGATGTCTCCTGGGCCGTCTTGGTGCCGTCGTGGAGGCCTCTTGGGCCGTCAGGGGGCCATAAGGGCCCTGTAGAGGCCCTTTCGGGCCCCTTCTGGAGCCAGAGGGTGCGCACAAGGGTGCCCTATAAGGGCCCCTTCAGGGCCTTTTTCTCTACCACCCCCCACTTGGGTCACCCCCCATTGCCACCCGCCCGAGTCGGCCGAAGGCCCACTGGGAATGACAACGACGTGCCACAAACTGCCGAGCGTCCAACGCGCCGTGCACCCCCGTGGCGAGCCGCAGGGGGGGCGGCGGATCTGCCGGCCTCCGGCCCATCCCGCCAATCGCGCCCAGGTTGCAGGTCGGAGGCCTCTCGGGGCCCTCTTTCGGCGGCGAGCGAGGGGGGGAAATGGGAAGGCGAAGGCCTTCTCAGAAGGCGGCGGGGCTTCTCGGAAGCCCTTGCGCCTCTGAGAGATTGTCTGCGTCTGCACGGGAGGCTTAGAGGACTTGTCGAGAGGCCTGGGGACTTCGAGCTTTCTGAGAATGTCTTCTCTTTCTCACTTCCTCCCCTCGCTCGCCGCCGACTCTTGGCCCGTTCTTGGGCGCTCGTGGGTCCGGGCCCTTTGATCTTCAGCCCTGAGGATTGAGGATTGTGTAGGAGGAGGAGGACGAAGAGAAGGAGGAGGAGGAGCCCTCGTGTCCTCCTCCGTCGCCAACCAATCCTCAGCCCTTTGATCTTTAGCCCTGAGGATTGAGGGCCCTCCAACTTGTGCCTCGCGGCATGGTGGCGGTTTTTTTCCCGCGCGCAGATGCTCCGAGCAAGTGCGGGGAAGTTGGACGCCCATGACTCATGGAGCGGCTGGCCTGGGCGGGAGCTGAATACATCTGCGACCGGTGGCGAATCCTATCCCTGCGGGTCCAATCGACGCTGGTGTATCTGACACCCCCGCTGGGGTTCATTCGGCTGCAGGCATCCTTCGAAATCAGAGACCCGGCCGGCGTCTCAGAAATCTGACTTGCTGGGCCCTGTTACACGTGTGGCCAGCTGTCCCCTGTCTGTGGACGGGCGCGCCGGGCCTCCATATGGTGTATCCAGCGCGTCGCCTCCAGGTAGTTGAACGCGTGCACCCTGTTATGTCTATGTGTGTGATTATGTATATTCCTGGTGCGCCCCCGATTCAGAAATCCTTGTATTCATATCGCTGGCTGCTGTGGCGCTCGCTCGGCCAGCTCCAAGCAGACCCGCAGCGACTGGACCGCGCTCAAACCCGGAGGGCTGGCAGCAAGTGGCCTTGAAGGGCAACTGTGGTGTGTATTTTTGGATGGTGGCACCCTCACGGAGCATCAGGAGGAGGAGGAGGAGGAGGAGGAGGAGGAGGAGGAGGAATGACGCCACATGTTCACACATAAGGTCTGGCCAACGCAACAAAGAAGAAAGAGGAGGATGAGGAGGAGGAGGAGGAGGAGGAGGAGGAGGAGGGAGGAGGAGGAGGAGGAGAGGGGAGGAGGAGGAGGGAGGAGGAGGAGAGAAGGAGGGGGAGGAGGAGGAGGGGAGGAGGAGGGGGAGGGGAGGAGGAGGAGGAGGAGGAGGAGGAGGAGGAGGAGGAGGAGGAGGGAGGAGGAGGAGGAGGAGGAGGAGGAGGAGGAGGAGGAGGAGGAGGAGGAGGAGGGGAGGAGGAGGAGGAGGAGGAGGAGGAGGAGGAGGAGGAGGAGGGGAGGGAGGAGGGGAGGAGGTGGAGGTGGAGGAAGAGGAGGAGGAGGCGGAGGAGGAGGAGGATGAGGAGGAGGAGGAGGAGGAGGAGGAGAGGGAGGGAGGCAGGGAGGGAGGGAGGGAGGGAGGGAACCCTATACATCAGCATCCGCTAGCCCAGAATTTGTACCTACTCACCGCCCGAGGAGCCGGTGCCCCAGGGCCCCACGCGCCGGTTGTGATGGATACGTGTCCTTTGGGCCTCCCAGGCCCGATAGTCTGCATGCCTGCCACCTCCCAGGATTCTGGGAAATCGGGTCGACAGGCGGCGGATTATGTGTGTGGTGTTTGTGCGTGTGTGCGTGTGTGCGTGTATGTGAGTGCGTGTGTGCGTGTGTGCGTGTGTGCGTGTGTGCGTGTGTGCGTGTGTGCGTGTGTGTGCGTGTGTGTGCGTGTGTGTGTGTGTGTGTGTGTGTGCGTGTGTGCGTGTGTGTGCGTGCGTGCGTGCGTGCGTGCGTGCGTGCGTGCGTGCATGTGTGTGTATGTGTGTGTATGTGTGTGTGTGTGTGTGTGTGTGTGCGCGCGCTCGCCCCGCCGCGGCCTGGCCCCGCTCTGAGCGGGGCCGGCTTCCGTCTCCCTGCATCCGCGCCAGGCCTCACCTCTTCTCCTCACGTGCATCGCGGCATAATCAGCAACTGTATGCCCTACATCCGTCCCTTCCGTCAGCGCAGTCACTATGTCTAGCCGCCGACGCAAAAGTGTGTGTGTGTGTGTGCGCGCGCATCCCTACCCCGCAATATGGGCAGATCCTGCACCCCCAGGGGTTGATGGTGGTGGTCGCTTGTGTCCTTCGAAAGGGAAACTGCACGAACATATACTTTCGAAGCTCCGCGCAGATGTCTTGGAACGGCGCTAGGGCCCCCTGGTGACGCCCCCGGCGCACTAGGCGTGTTCCGTGCGGCAGGGACGAGAGTCCAGCGCAGATCCAAGAAATCCGCGTCGACTTTCGAACGTTTATGTTTCTGCTGTTTGTTTTCCCTCGACTCTTCTAGGCCTCCCAAATGGGGTCGAAGTAGATGGGGTCACAGGATCCGCGCCGCATCGCCGATGCACCACTCGGACCCCATGTGGGAGGCTTCTAAACTCCTCCCCAGTCTTCCTCCGATGGTGGTCCTCGCGCTGGTGGACGCCCACCGCAGCCTGGGCAGGGCCTTCTGCGAGGAGGCGCCGCCGCCGGGGAAGGGCCAGCAGCGGACAGAGTAGCGGCAGTTGGAGCAGGAGGAGGCTCCACGAGGAGGAGGAGGAGGAGGAGGAGGAGGAGGAGGAGGAGGAGGAGGGGGAGGAGGAGCGGCATGAGAAGCAGGAGTCAGGTCCTTGTTTTTCGAGGGCCCCGATCTCCGACGATCCGATGGATTCTAACAGGCGTTGTTCTTAGATTTCGGCCTCCGTGGGCCGTTTTCGGGCCCCGTGGCCATCGAACACGAATGCGGGACGGCAACCCGTCCCCGTGGAAGGGGTCGGGACCCCTGGGGCCGCGCACTGACAAAATCAGATCGTCGGATGCTTGGGGGTGTCCTCGGTGCGGTCGGATCGGCTGCGTCGCAGTTGGCTGCGTTCGGTCAGCTCGGCTTTCGGTTGGTTGTTGCGTCGTTGCCGCGTCGTTGGCGCTTTCCTCGGTTGCTTGCGGTAGATTCGGTTTCGGCCGGCTTTTGTTTGGGTGTCGTCCGGATTGTGTTTGGTTTCGTTGTCGCCGTGGACGGTTTTGAAAGCTTGGATCATCGAACGTCGATCTCTCCTCTCTCTGCAAGACTGAGAGTGGGAGTCAACGCAGGAGGTGGAGAAGGCGGAAGAGACAGGGCCCAAGGATGCGTTGTTGCGGCCGCGTGCTTTGTTGTTTGAGGAGAGCGACACTGGTACCCCCAGCTGCCCCCAGCAGGAGTAGGAGGCAGAGGCGGAGAAGGGGAGAAGTGAGGGAGCGAAGACGGCGAAGAGTGACCGCGACGACGTCGACATGAGGACGAGGTCGTGGTTGGCAGCGACAGCATCGACGAAGACGGCGACACAGCGACGACGACGAGACGACGGCTCCGTAGTGCTGACTCGGTTTTCTGTGCGGCGCAAGAGAAGAGGAGGAGGAGGAGGAGGAGGAGGAGGAGGAGGAGGAGGAGGAGGAGGAGGAGGAGGCCCAGGGGGGAGGGGGGGGCCTGCGCCGCACAAGAGGCGCGGAAGAGCCACGGGAAAACGCAAGTGGAGGCTCTGGGGAAGCGGGGAAGTCGAGGATCGAGGCCTCTAGATCAGTGTCCTGCCCGCGCGGGGCCCCAGGAGGCCCGCGGCGGAGGCTTCTGTGGGGCAGGAGGTGCCGCAGGCGGGCCCGCGGCCGCGCCGAGGACGCGCTGCGGGAGGCGATCTTCAACGAGGTCTGCGACGAGGCTGCCCCCGTGATTTAGGGGAGGGAAAAGCACCCCGACCCCGACAATTGGCGTTTGCTAAACGGCCCTGGGCGTTTACTAAACGGCCCTGCCCTGTTCGGTTCCTTCCTTGGATGCGTTTACTAAACGGCTTCGCTTGTCGGGGTGCTTATTCTGGGGTAATGGTGCGCCCCCGAGCGCCGCTGCTCCCGCGCGCCCAACACCGCACAGGGCGGCTGCGAGGGAGAAAAACACCGAGGAGCGCGTGCGGCGGGGGTCGTCTGCGCGGCCGCCCTGCACCCCCTCCGCGAAACGTCATGCAAGTTTTGCCGACGCCCACTCGCCTCCAATTTCAATTCGATGTTCAGTCGCGCGGCGCGGCGTGGTGCGCGGACGCCGTCAGAAAATTTGAAGTCACGTGTTTCGGCAACAACATTGAAATTTGGGGATCTGGGGGCGCCAGCGCGGCGCGGGACAACTTGCGTTAAGTTTCGCGGAGGGATGTCGTCTTTTTCCCTTTGTTGCATGCCGGCTGATTAGCCAGTCGGCTGCCCCGGATTGCCGCACGCTGGAGCGGACCGCCTCCGCCTCGCCGCTGGCGGAACAGTTGTTGGTGCGGCAGGATTCTCGGCATCAGCCGAGCCACGTCCCCTTGAGACGAGGCCGCGTTGCGTTGCCTACGCTAGCCTGGCCCCATTGGCAGCTCCTCGGTCAACCCGTGACTCGCCCGAGGAGCTGTTCAATGGCGACCCGCTCGCAGCCCGACGTGCCTCGGCCAGCCGACCAGAATGCATTACGGACGGGTCCCCAGAGCGTTCCCGGGTCCAAACGCGCCAGTTTTTTCAAGCTGCGCCCAGCCGTGGTGATGAGGAGGGCCCCCGAAGGCGAACACGCCTCGGACCTCGGGCCTCGAGGCTACAGGTTCGAACCTGACCTGGCAGTTCGGCCAGTGGTCCCTCACAGCACGGCGGCTGACGAGGCCAGGCCTGTGGCGCATGCTGCCTCCCCCTGCAGGCCGAGGCGCCCTGCGCCCTCGGCTGCCGCGTTCAGCCTCCTCGGGGGGCTGGCCCATTGCGCACGGCCCAGACTCGGCTGCCTCGATATGCCTGTTTTGAACCGCAGCACGCGCCGAGCTTTAACCGTCCGTGCCAGCGCGTGGCGTGGTGGCTCAGCGTGTTGGCCCACGCTTTCTGGCGTGTCGCGTCAGACCTGCGTTGTGTTGAGCTCCGTGTCGATACGCTGCGTGCTGCGTATCGGGGCGGCCAAGGGCCCCAGAGGTGCCCTCCCCGTGCCGAGGGTTGTCCAGAGGCGCCCCCCCGGCCCAGAGGCGCCCCCCCCCAGATACCCTCGCGGCATGAGCAGATCACAGCGGGAGACTGTTCGCTCGTGTCGGCCTTGGGGGGCCATGGCAGGGCCTCGGGAGCATCAAAGAACGGCTCAGGAGGAGGAGCCAGTCTTGGGGAATGGGTCGGGATCTCTGGCTTCAGACGTCATGGAAAAGAAAATGACGTCGGGGGGTTGGGCCCTCAGTCCCCTCAGCTCTTCGCGCCATCTCGGACGCATGGCTCGTTCGCTGAATCGCATGAGATCGGCAACGGCAGCACGCAGAAACGAAGCGCAGCTTGAGATTGAAAGCACTGCTGGGTCAGCGCCGCGCACGCCTCATCTTCGCCGCGCCCATCAGAAGTGTTGCTGCTCCCGTCCTTGCGCGGCCCACGTAGTTTTCCATTCGCCAGGTCGTTGGAAGCGGGGCCGCGCTCGAGCGCCTTCCGTTTGCGACGTGCGAGCGCGTCCCAATCCCAACAATTTGTGCCACGCTTGATCCGTATGGAAAGGGAGGGAAGGGTGGGAACAGGCGGCCCCCCTGACCCACTCGACCTGGCTAACTTGACTATACCCCGATGTCTGTTCTATTCTCCCCTACTCTAGTCGGCTCTACTTTACCCCAGTCGACTCGACTTTACTTATATTTTTTGTCTCGACTCCACTCGAGTCCCAGCCTCCCCTACTCTCCTCGACTCTGCTCTAGCTTATATTACTTTCCTTTTGTTTGCCAAATTCTGCCCATCTACTCATCTCTGTCCTTCTTTCCACTCTCTTCAACCAACTTTTGGTATACCCTACACTATTTGTGAGTCTGACGACTATGTGGGAGTTGCCAATGCAGTGGCTTCCCTTGGGATAACCAAAGGAAGCCACTGCATTGGCAGAGGAAGCCATTGCAACATCAGAGGAAGCCATTGTAGCCATTGCAACCATGTGGGGCAAAGTCGGGAGGACGGCATTGCAAACATTTGGGGCACAATTGGGGAGCATCACTGGACCAGTCTTCACGGATTCAGCAAGGCCTTTTCAGAAAATTGCGATATCTCCATGTTGCCGGTGTCGTTGTCGTCATTATACTAATGTTCTTTCTTCTCCGTCATAGCTTGAGATCCCTTCCCCGTCGCATTTTTGTTTGTGCCCGAGGCTCCTGCTGGGGGATTCTTTGTTCGGTGGCCTCACGAAAGTGTTTGGGTGACTTCTTGTGGACCTCCAGAAGCCTCTTGAAGGCCAGTTGGGGGGGGTCCTGGGGCGACCTTGCTGCGAACCACGGCCTCCCTCAACGACCAGGTCACGATCTGCAGTACTCCGGGGGACGGACGTCTTGGGGCCATTTCTGGGCCGCCAGGGGGCTCTCTTCGGGCCATCTTAGGGCGCTGTTAGTGGCCGGCCGCGGGCTCTTTGCCATCCTTCTTGGGGTCGTTTTGGGGCGATTTTTGTGGGGCATCCCAAGCGGTTTCGGACGCCCAGCAAGAGGAGCCGAGCATCAACACTGATATGCAACGCATCGGGAAGCAGCCGGTGTTGCGTCTCGAGGGCCCGGTGCCGCCAGCGGTTGCCGCATGCAACTTCACCGCGCTGCAGGGGCGGCCTGGAGGACCGGAAGGCCTGGGGAACGCCCTGCAATGACGCCTAAGGGGGCCCTAAGGCCAGTGATACGGGAGGTTCGGTTTTGGCGGGGCACTTGTTGGGGGCTCTCAGTAAGCCGCCATGAATAGGAACATACAGATGGGCCTCCATTCTTTGCTTGCAATGGCAGGTGAGCATGGCCAACTGTGACAGACGAATCTGGGCTTCACATGTATCGCGTCTCCTCTGTCAGATGCTTCTGGCTGGCAGTGATTGAAGGCTTCCCTGTCCGCGGCGGCAATCCGAATGTCGTCCTCTCGTGCGGACCCGTACGGAGTTGTAGGCAGGTTTGTTTCCGCACTGCCGCTATCTATGAAGCTCCTATTTCAGAAGTAATTGCCGAAGCCATGGCCCGCGAACGACGCATTTATTGGTGAGCTCATGCGGTTCCGCGTCTTGTGCACCCTTGACAGTTTTCTGTAGCGTGTTGTGTGTCCCGTCGTGTGGTGCGAATTCACAGACCGGCGAATCCAAGCGCTCGTGTCAATATTTGGAGGAGGCGCGGGGTTGTGAAGCAATCTGAAGCATGCGCAGTACAACTTAGGTCAAACCACTCACGTTGTCTGGGAATTATCTGGCCGCTGCGCATTCCGCTCGACTCCCCCCCACACCGATGTTCCTACGGATGCCGGTTTGCATGGACATGTGTAAATGCACACTTGCACACAATATGCGCATGGACCTTGCGTGTGATAACAGAACAAGGCCACACACGACACGTGTTTACCGTTCTTATGTTCACTGTCCCCTCTTATTCTGTTTACGGCTGGCAGCAGTTGAAGGGTATGGTTTGGCCGCGGTGGCAATCCGAATCAGTTATCCCTGGGCGGGCTTGCGCGGAGTTCTACACATATGTGAGCAGATGCGCACGTTGAGCTGCAACGATCCACGTACCGCATTGTTTTCTTTACAAAACTGTGAGCGCGTTGGAGGGTTTCGCTGTTGAAGGTCTGGCCGCCTGGCAGGTTGTCCAGCGTACACTCGACGTCCCCGCCCGTGCCCGTCGGCCGACGCCCCCCGCCTGCCGCCGACAGACAGCTCTTATCTGGCCAGATGTTTTTTTCACGTGGCCGGATGCGTTTTTGTATGACCAGGGGTGTTACGGAACGCACGAGGTGGCACAAGCGCCCCCACCTTCAGAAAATGCGCCCCTGAAGGGCTTCTCTTGTTTTTCCCAACCATCCTGTGGTGTTGGGTCCTCGTTTTGAAGAGACAGCGCCCCGCGTTCACTCCTTCATTCCTCCCGCTGCCCCCTCCCTCGTCACCGCACCCATTTCGGCACACCCCTCACACGTTTCGTGGCCCCATAGGGAGCTCCACCGAGGGCCCCAGTGGCTGCGTTGGCATGGCGGCACCGCACCCATGTCGGCACACCCCTCACACGTTTCGTGGCCCCATAGGGAGCTCCACCGAGGGCCCCAGTGGCTGCGTTGGCATGGCGGCACCGCGCCCATTTCGGCACACCCCTCACAGGCTTCGTGGCCCCATAGGGAGCTCCACCGACGCCACAGTGGTTGCGGGCCCCAGTGGCATGGCGGCACCGCACCCATTTCGGCACACCCCTCACACGTTTCGTGGCCCCACAGGGAGCCCCACCGAGGGCCCACAGGGGCGTTGGCATGGCGGCACCGCACCCATTCGGCACACCCCTCACACGTTTCGTGGCCCCATAGGGAGCTCCACCGAGGGCCCCAGTGGCTGCGTTTGGCATCGGCACCGCACCCATTTCGGCACACCCCTCACACGTTTCGTGGCCCCATAGGGAGCTCCACCGAGGGCCCCAGTGGCTGCGTTGGCATGGCGGCACCGCACCCATTTCGGCACACCCTTCACACGTTTCGTGGCCCCATAGGGAGCTCCACCGAGGGCCCCAGTGGCTGCGTTGGCATGGCGGCACCGCACCCATATCGGCACACCCCTCACACGTTTCGTGGCCCCATAGGGAACTCCACCGAGGGCCCCAGTGGCTGCGTTGGCATGGCGGCACCGCACCCATTTCGGCACACCCTTCACACGTTTCGAGGCCCCATAGGGAGCTCCACCGACGGCCCCAGTGGCTGCGTTGGCAT